CGTCCTCACCGATCAGCCCGACTCCGTGCATCAGCTGAGTGTCTGCAGCCTCGGCCGCAGCCATCTTCCGCAGCCCCGCGTTATCCGGCTAGTCGCTTGCAGACCCCGCCCACCTCGTCCTGGCCCCGCCCCAGCCCTGGTCCGCCTGGGTGATCGTAGGCCCCGCCCTCTCCTCCAAGCCCCACCCCTCTCCCAGGCTCAGCCCCAGAGTCAGCTCTCAGGCTTCCTTCCTGCAGCTTCCTAACCTTAAAAAATTAGCAGCTCTCTATTGCTGGAGGAGAAAAGTACCCCGGGTCCTTTCAGGATTAATTTATTCGAAAAGGAAATAATAAAAAATAGTCAACATGCAGAAATCTTGTGAAGGACAGAACATGCCCATGGTAGAGGAAGACCGCCCTTTGGAAAATGTACCACAAGAGGCAGAAGGAAGCCCTCAGCCTTCCAAGAAGAAGGTGTAAACCAGGAACCAGAAGGAAACCTTAGAGCAGGGCCAATTTAGCCCAGCCAGGGATTGAAAGAGGACACTCCCGTTTAGGTATTTGGACCCTGAAGAAATGATAAGAGGAGTAGATGAGTTGGAAAGGCTTAGGGAAGAAATGAGAAGAGTAAGAAATCACGCAGCCCTCCTTATCCAGTGTGCTTTAGGCCTTGAGTTCTTTTTTATCTGATATTAAAATCTGGCCCCTGCCTTTCTTTTTTTTTTTTTTTTTGGATAAGTTTTTGCTACAGGGCACCTGCGCTTGCCACAGAGAGACAGAGAGACAGAAAGTGAGAAATCACCCCCCAGGGGGGATGGCCACGCCACAATCCCTTCTCCTCCATTCTCGTTGGGATCTTGGGCTAATGCGCACAAGCCCTGCATGAGTTTAAGCCACCGGGTCCGGGACTCGAACCGTGGTCGACTACATGGGAGTCCAGCCACATAGCCATTACGCTAACTACTGATTCCCCCCTGCTTTCTTTCTGTTAGTATTTTCTGACGTATCTTTGACATTAATTTTACTTTTAATCATCTGGTGGAATTTTGTTTTGGGTAGTTTCCTTGTTACCAGCAATTTGTTGGATTTTGGATTTTGGCCCATTTTCCAGGTCTATTTTTTCAACTGGGAAGTTTTACACATATGCATGGAAATATATTCATTCCATAATGTAATGTAAAACATAATAGATTATAAAGCATCATATTTAGTATCAGCTCACTTATGTAGGATAAAATTCCAAATTGTGTGTGTTTACATATATACATATTTCAAAAACTTAACCATGTTTAGTTTCTGTGTGGTTTGAAGTTTCTTTTCTTTTCTTTTTTTCTTTTTTGAGAGGTTTTCGCTATAGGGCACGTGTGCTCGCCAGACAGACAGAGACATAGAGACAGAAAACGAGAAATCACCCCCCAAGGGGGATGGTCACACCACAATCCCTTCTCCTCCATTCTCCTCTCGGGATCTTGGGCACATCTCACATGCACCGGGCGTGAGTTTTAAGCCACCGGGTACGGGATGCGAACCATGGTCGACTACGTGGGAGTCCAGTGACATAGCCATTACGCTAACTGCTGGTTCCCATCTTTTTTTTCTTTTTTTTTTTTAATTTTCCACTTATGTATTTTTAAATGAACACAGGTCACACACAAAAATGGATTTTTTAGCAATTAAAAGTAAAATAATTTGCAACCAGGTTATAAGGGCAATGGGGGCACCTAACCTCTTGACGAAAGAACTATAAAAAAGAATTGTAAACCTCAAATTACCTCTGACTCTCTTAGCCAGAGGAATAAAACTGGCAATTATTACAGTTAAAAAAAAATTATCTCCCAACCTAGAGAGAGAGAAGGAGAAAAAGAGAGAAGCACCCTTCACAGGGTCTGGATATGCCTCGATTCCTTCCCCAGGCCTCTAGCCAGGGGGATCTCGGACCCTGTTACTAGTGCCTAGCTTAACTCCTCTTGCCTCCTGCCCTTGCCCTTCACCCTTGGAAATGTCCTCTGCTTGCTGGCCTTCCTCAATTTCTTTCATCTAGAATTTATTCACCTTTTCCTCGACTTACTCCAACCTTCCCTCTACTACTTAGGCTTTCTTTATCCTACCCCTGCCTTCTGGTCTGGCTGAAAAGAACAGGTCATGATCCTAAAAGCTAAAAAAGTCCTAGGAAGGAGGAAGGGTCTCCATTCATTCATTTGTTCATTCATCTAGCACTCTGTAAAAGTTTTTTGAGACCTGGGCAGCTTTGGGAATACAGTGTTGATCAAGACAAAACATTTCAGTGGGGGAGGCAATTACCAAGTGAAATAAATAATAAAACAGACCAGGGGGACCAGCAGTTGGCCTAATGACTACGTCACTGGACTCCCATGCAGTCGACCACGATTCGAGTCCCGGACCTGGTGACTTCAACTCATGCAGGGCGCGTGTGCGTGCGTGCCCAAGATCCCAAGAAGAGAATGGAGGAAAAAGGATTGTGGCGTGGCCATCTCTCCAGGGGGTGATTTCTCACTTTCTGTCTCTCTCTTTCTGGCAAGCGCACGCACCCTATAACAAAAAACTTCTCCCCCAAAAAAACATTAAATAAAATAATTCATTAAAAAAGAAAAAATAGGAATTCTTGGGACCAGCAGTTAGCGTAATGGCTATGTCGCTGGACTCCCACATAGTCGACTGCGGTTCGAGTCCTGGACCCGGTGGCTTAAACTCACGCGGGGCGCGTGTGCGTGCGTGCCCAAGATCCCGAGAGTAGA